GTTTCTTGAGGGAGGGTCCTTCCGGTGTTTGCTGCCTGGTCTGCCTGCTCATTTCCCGCGATGTCTGCGTGGCCAGGGATCCAGACGATTTGTACGTTCACTTTTCTGCGACTGAGATGGTTCAGGCCTGTCCATATCTCGGTAAGGGTTTCTGGGGCGGGCCCTCTGGTACCCTGTTTGAGGAAGGTTACCAGTGAGAGTGAGTCGGTGCACAGGCGGGTCGTCTTGACTTCCTTTGGGGCTCCCGCTGCGTCCCTCACAGCTGCCAGGAAAGCCACTTGCTCGGCCCGGTACGAGCTTGACCACTTGCCGGCCGGTCCGCTCCAGGTCGCGTTGCCTCGGCCTTGCTCGATGCGGACAACTCCCCCTCCGCCAACTCCAAACCCCTTCTCCGTGGAACCGTCAGTGTAGTAGGTTGAGTCCGTGGGCGGCAGGGATTCCAGGACGCGCTCCGCTGCCGCTCGCCTTCTTTCCGGTGGGTCATGCCTGGAGGTGGTGTCACCAGATTCCGTGTGGAAGCTGATCCTTCCTTTCCCCATCGACAGCCACGGGGGGCGCGGTGGCAGGGACATTGCCTCCCTCTCCGTCTCCTCGAGCAGCGCTTCCTTCGCGATCTTGGTCGCTTCTTCGCGCCAGGTCTGCCGGTTCACGAGCCGCTTCCTCATCTTCCTGGTGACCGTCTGTCGGGCCGGGACGCTGTCAGGGAGACGGATGACCCTCTCTCGCAGGATCGCGCCTTGTTCTTCAGCTGTGCTGAAGAATACGTGTCGTGCTGGGGGGGAATACGTGTCGTGCTGGAAGTACGTGTCGTCCTGGGGGGGGGGGGGCGTTTTCACGCCCCCCCCCCCACCATAACTCGGCTCCTGGGCCACGTAGCGACACGAAGTAAGCGGTAATCGAAAGAGCGTTAAAAATAATGATGGAAACACCTCAGCCATTTTTAGGTCAGGTCAAAGGTCAGGTCACCAGGTGTCATCGAAGGTCAAATTAAGTCCATTTCAATAATTTTGGAAACTGCCAACGGCTATCTCGGGAACCGATAGAGCTACATCGCCGCGGAAAAGTGCATTCGATAGCCCTTTTACAGACCTTTCTGAGTGTTGTTCTCAGACTTGACCTCAGGCCAACGGTTTAGCCTCCAGAGGGCAAAAACAGTAAAAAAAATAGCAATTTTCACGAAAAATGTTTTTCGGCAATAACGTTTGACTCAAGAGAGCGACGACATAACTTTTGGCAGCATCGTGTTCCTCTCGTCGAGACGCGTCGAATGAACTAAAAGTTGACCTTGAAAGGTCATTTTGAAAATTTGACCTCAGGTCAAGGTCAAGAGCTGACAGGAAAGGGTCATGCTGCTGCTGCATATCAGTCGATCCGTATCGTCAAGCTGAACACATCTGACGTGTTTTCACCGCTCTAGCACGTCTGTATCAAAAGTTATAGCCAAAAAACTGTTGGTAACCATTCATGACCTGAGATGACCTCAGGGCTACAGAGAAGGGTCATGGGTGCATTTTTCTAATTAAGTGTGTCATGTTTGCCTAAGAACCATTGTTTGAGAGAGTTTTGAATGACATTCGTGTTAAAGAAGCTCATTCTAATTTTCTCCTATTGACTTATAATGGAGAGGTCGCAAAATTGACCTGACCTTAGGTCACATACATCAAAATTCTGAGATAAATATTTTATACATACCATTACTCATATCAATCACTGAAAGCTTCATAGTGATCATTCAGTCGGTGTAGCTATAGTGAGCCTTTGAACCTTTTCTGAGGTACAGTCACTCAATGTGACCTTGTGACCTGGCGCTGACCTTTAACTACCCGGGTCTGAAATTTTCACATGTGCGGAAATGATGTATGAACAGGTGCACTAAAACTGCTTGCAGCGCCACTGTTTTTTTAATATTCGTGAAAAACCTGATAGGGTTGTATAAACACCCCTCAGCACAGTGCGGGTTAATCTGCACAAGAGAGCATAACGACTAGAATCTCAGTTTGTGAAATAAGGAGAAACTTCTTGGAAGGAAGCCCATGCAACATCCAAATTCGCCTTTCTGGATCCACCGGTGATAGGAATGGGGTAAAACAATTACCAAATTCTGGTCATTTGAACGTAAACTTTCGGCCACCAAGTTACGAAACAGAAGTTCTATCCAGGACAAACTGAAACCCAGGTAACAACGAACCTGAGAGCAGAAAAATGTAGGTGGTAAGTTATTCTTCAAACATGTGGGACATTGCAGACTTGCACTTTTATTGCATGCCGGAGTTTCGCAGACTCTGCCATCTGTCATTTTTACTGTCTGCAATTGCTCAATTAACTTAATGAAGTAAAATTACAATTTCCTGCTATTTGGTCCTTAAGCCACTAATTACCACCTTGAATGCTTCAAATATTCCAAGAAACAGCAATTGACTAAATTCCAATCATCAACTTCAACCACTGAACTCTATAATTTCAACACACGGACCACAACAAACTGCCCCTCACTGTCAGGTAAACCTGTTGGACTGCCCTTGGGACTGCCCACTTTGCACAGCTGAACAGCTGATGCTAGGCATCTAATAAAAAAAAAAGAGCTCTACAGCTGTTTTCATTCGATTAGCGTCACAAAAGTTCTTTTAACCAATAAATACTATTTTCTTTATGTATTTTTCGGAAAAAATATGAATACACAAAATTTTGAACAAAATTTATAACTTTTTTTTTGAAAAAAGGGAGCTGCATTGAGAAAATCAGCTGTCAATGTTGCAGATCTATGACACCGGAGTATTGCCTTTTAGGATGTACCCTTTATCTTCTTATGAATGCTACATATATTGCGCCACTGTTTCGAACAAAATGCTGGAAAACATGTGGGTTGATGTGCTGTATTTCTGTGGGGGATATAAAGGTATAAGTGTTGATTTTTAAGTTTTTTTTATTAAATTCAGACTACCCTAAAGTACACAGTTTCAGACTAGATTACTTGGGTTGTGGAATAGCGGGCAGTAGCCTGGTCTAGTGGTAAATGTCAACATAATTTCAGTAGTCTGGATCCATTTTTAATTTAATTAAATGTATGTTCTATGAATGTCCATTGTCCAAGTGGACATGTGTTTTGTACCAATGATCCACAGTAGACTCTGAAGGTACCTTTCTGGTCACTTGAAGGCAAACATGTGCTAGTTTCCTGATTTTGGCTTAATTACGTGGGCAGTGTTTCACAGCTCAGTAGGCGGAACTATGGTCAAGCGTACCCATTTTCGGGAACGCATTTTCGTTCCCATGTTTGGGAACGATAAACCCAAATATGGGAACGCCATGTAGGCATTATTTAAAACAAGAAAAAGAACCGTTAAATGACGTCCAAAAAATATAAAACGATCGTGAACCGCCTGATAGTTGTCTCAATATTGTTGGGAAAGAGTTTGATATTGTAAGGCCCATCGTAGTTTCAAATCGTTCCCCTATTTCTAAAGCAGTCCATCACCCGGGCCGCGAGCCCAAATTTGGGAACGCTCTCGTACACTGGCGCTGCAAGCGTTCCTTATTATGGGAACGGCGTACCCAAAATTGGGAACGATTTCACCGACGCCTTTCAGGGGCTCTTTTCATTAACAAGCATCACGTCCAACGCCGCAAATTATTGTTAACGCAACAATCATCAGATGACCTTTCCGGCAAGACCGTTGCATGTTTCGCCCGGTCTTCTGCGCTTTTATTCCCGTCGATCTCGCAGCGGGCACGCCCCCCTCTGCAGGATTACGTAATCCACAACGCTCAGCGATGTTCAACAAGGTCTTCCATACCTATATCCACCGTCCGCGCCGAGGGTGGAGACATGTCAAGCACCTGTCTGCTAATCACCGAGAGTTGACGAGCACAAGAAGTATCCAAAAATGGGAACGCTGAATATGTTACACCCGTTACACCCTCAAAACACCTAGTCCCAATGAAAATCTAGTTTTTTTCTTTCTTAATGAGTGTAAGTGGCAAAAGGCCTGGTAGGATGGGCACGAGGAATGATCGAAATCAGCATAAAAATTATAAATAAGCCACACAGAGCGACCTATATCAGAGAAAATCCCCCCAAACGATCATGCTTAGAAACGCCGAAGACAAAAACCACGCTCATGACGCTGCTTATAAAACAACGCTAAACAGCTAGCATCCAAATAAAATATGTCTTTCAGGACTGATAAAATACAGCTGAATGATTTTAAACCACTGAAACTGAGTTTACAACAGTAGTTCGGTAAAATCACTGACGTTCCACGCGGTCGATCGCCCCGACACCAAAAGTCAACAATATTACCTCGGGACTGTCCGCGTGTTCGCTTGCATATGTCAGCATCTGGTGTCGCTAGAATGAAACTTCATAACCAGGCGAAAATTATTATACTTGACCTCAAAATGTAAAAAATGCTTCATTTTCCTTAAAATTGCATGTTAAATGTCATGTAACCCATATTTCCACCATTCTGCCATTTTTAAAAAATCATTAAAAATATCATTCCACGGTCAATTTCCTTGTTCCACGGTCAGATTAAAGATAACTTTATGGAGATTTAGTAGATACTTAAATCAGCGTGCACTTTTTTGAGACGTGATGCACTTTTGAGTTTTAGTGGGCGAACGGCCGAAAAATTGCCTTCCGTTCTCATAAATGGGAACGCCCGTTCCCATATTTGGGAACTCCGTTCCCAAAAATGGGAACGTTCCTATATTTGGGAACTCATGACCATAGTTCCGCCTACTGAGCTGCTAGCAGCATCCTGCCAGCACATTTTTCAAGCTGATGTCACAGATTGTGGTAGTGTTAGAGATGCAAGTTTGTTGATGTCTTCACGGGAACCCAATTTGACAGTTGTGCTAGTAGCAGCTATGAAATGGCCATGGAGTCTGGATGGAATTATACATTAAAACTTAGAAAGCCTTAGTGAATACCTATTTAAACCTTGTTTAAAACCATAAACCGCTGGTGAATCTGAAGTCTGAAATGCTTCTAGTCTAGTTCTTAAGTTTAATTATTTTTTCTCTTTTGTCAATTTTCCAGCTGAAAGCTATGATCTTTTGCCTGTTGAAATTAGTTGAAATCATGCCAAAAATTAACATGACCATGCCACCTTACATTAGTTTTGAGTTGAGATAGCCAACTTGGGGCCCCTGGCTCACAATTACCTGATTGGGTACTCACAACATCAAGAATATATAAATGTTGCAGGTGCATCAGTGAGCTGCAGAAGAACTGCCAGTGCAGATCGTGCAATTGGTGATCTGAGCCAGCTACTCTGCACATTCAAAGCCTGACTGAGGACAGATACAGGGAGTGAGGTCACAGTTGGACACAGGACTGTGGTCCGTCTGAGGGGGCAACAGTCCATCTGAGAGGGCAGGACTCTCTCTGAGGCGACTGCCAGCCGCCATGGGCCGGAGGAAGACCCGCGGCCGCCGGCCGGCCGCCGCCGCCTCTGCCGCAGCCGGCTCGGATGACGAGCTGGTGCGCTCCGAGCTGGACGAGGACGAGATGCGCGACGAACTGGACGAGTTTGAGCTGCGCCGCGAGCGCGCGCTGCTGGCGGACGGCGGCGGCGCGTCCGGCCGGCCCGCCGCCGCCGCCGCCGTGCGATCCAAACACACCGAGGTGCTGGCCTTTGACGACGACGACTCAGCGAGCGACGACGAGTACGGACAGCTTCCAGACGGCGGTGAGTAGTACGGACAGCTTCCAGACGGCGGTGAGTAGTACGGACAGCTTCCAGACGGCGGTGAGTAGTACGGACAGCTTCCAGACGGCGGTGAGTAGTACGGACAGCTGCCAGACGGCGGTGAGTAGTACGGACAGCTTCCAGACGGCGGTGAGTAGTACGAACGGCTCGGGGGGGGGGGGGGGGCGGGACTGCGGGTAGTACGGACAGCTTCCAGACGGCGGTGAGTAGTACGGACAGCTTCCAGACGGCGGTGAGTAGTACGGACAGCTGCCAGACGGCGGTGAGTAGTACGAACGGCTCCGAGGTCGGGACGGTGGGTAGTGCGGACAGCTGGGAGGCCCGGACGGTGGGTAGTATGACTATGGACAGCTGGAAGGGCCGGACGGTGGGTAGTACGACTATTGACAGCTGGGAGGGCCGGATTATGGGTAGTACGGACAGGTGGGAGGGCCGGACGGTGGGTAGTACGACTATGGATAGCTGGGAGGGCCAGACGGTGGGTAGTGCGGACAGCTGGGAGGGCCGGACGTTGGGTAGTACGGACAGCTGGGAGGGCCGGACGGTGGGTAGTACGACTATGGACAGCCGGGAGGGCCGGACGGTGGGTACGGACCTTATCTGATCTGATCATGCAGATGGCTAATTCGAGCCATTTTCATACATAATAAGTAAGGATTCAGTCTCATTGGCCAGCTGTGACCGCCCCCGTCTCTGATTGGCCCGCTCTGACCGCCCCCGTCCCTGATTGGCCAGCTCTGACCGCCCCCGTCCCTGATTGGCCAGCTCTGACCGCCCCCGTCCCTGATTGGCCAGCTGTGACCGCCCCCGTCCCTGATTGGCCAGCTCTGACCGCCCCCGTCTCTGATTGGCTAGACGCGGCGGAGGAGGTGGACGGCGCCGAGCTGTCGGGCGGCTGGGGTAAGCGCAAGGCGTCCTACTACAGCACGGACCAGGTGGACGAGGACTGGCGCGGCGCCACGCGCGAGGAGACGCTGGAGGCGGCCGAGCTGGAGGAGCGCGAGGCGCGCGCCATCCAGCGCCGGCTGGCAGAGCAGCTGGAGCACGACCAGCTCGAGTTCGGCACGGCCGCCGTCACACCGGTCAGTGCCGCCGTCACACCGGTCAGTGCCGCCGTCACACCGGTCAGTGCCGCCGTCACACCGGTCAGTGGCGCCGTCACACCGGTCAGTGCCGCCGTCACACCCGTCACACCGGTCAGTGCCGCCGTCACACCGGTCAGTGCCGCCGTCACACCGTCACACCGGTCAGTGCCGCCGTCACACCGTCACACCGGTCAGTGCCGCCGTCACACCGTCACACCGGTCAGTGCCGCCGTCACACCGTCACACCGGTCAGTGCCGCCGTCACACCGGTCAGTGCCGCCGTCACACCGGTCAGTGCCGCCGTCACACCCGTCACACCGGTCAGTGCCGCCGTCACACCGGTCAGTGTCGCCGTCACACCGTCACACCGGTCAGTGTCGCCGTCCCACTGTCACACCGGTCAGTGCCGCCGTCACATCGGTCAGGGGCTGTCCCACCGTCCCTCCCGTCCCGCCGTCACACCGGTCAGTGGCTGTCCCTCCCGTCCCTCCGTCACACCGGTCAGTGGCGCCGTCCCTCCAGCAGTGATTGTCCCTCCGTCACACCGGTCAGTGCCGCCGTCCCTCCGTCAGTGACCGTTTCACGGTCCCTGCCGTTCGGCGGTGCGCAGCGTCAGACCAGCTCGGCGCCAGCAGTGGGAAGCAGGGTATCTATGTGCGCCCAGCGAGGGCCGGTGGGAAGTTCAAATGTCTTTATTTTCCAGTTTGGAAGCGTCCTGACGGACTTGGGAAACATAGCAGCCTGTGTCAGGTTGTGGAGACGGTGTTGGAATGTCTTTGGGATGAGGCCACCGATACAGCATCTGACCCGAGTGTAGCCGTCCGCCCGGCCGCGGTGCTCTGTACCCCGTGTCTACGCTCTGCACTGACTGCTGCTGTGTCTGGTGCCGGCAGACGGCCGGTGACGCGGCGCCGTCGGCCGGCGCGCTCTCGGTACCGCTCGACACCAGCGGCCTGTCGCGCGCAGAGCGTCTGCAGCTGCTGCGCCGCCGGTGTCCCGAGCTGCTGCCGCTGCTGGACGAGTTCTCCCGCCGCGCCGGCGAGCTGGCCGCCGCGCTGGAGCCGGCGCGCGGCGCCGTGACGCGCGGCCAGGCGGCCGGCCCGGGCGCCGCGTACGTGACGGTGCGCCGCCGGCTGCTGCTGCTCTACTGCCTCAACATCAGCCACTACGTGACGCTGCGCGCCGGCCGCGGCGACACGGACAGCCACCCGGTTATGCGCCGGATCGCCCAGTGCGGCCGACTGCTGGAGGCGCTGGCGCCCGCCGACCGCGCCATGGCGCCGCACCTGGAGCGACTGCGCCGACTGCTGGCCGACGGCGTCCCGCTGCGCACCGTGGCGGCGCCGGACGCAGCCCCCGCCGCCGCCGCCGCCCCCGCCCCGGCCGGGCGGCGACTGAAGGCGGCGCGGCGGCGCGCGGCGCCCGCCCCGACCGGCGCCCAGTCGGAGGTGGACCGCCAGCTGGCCTCGCTCACCATGGAGATCGAGGGCCTCGAGCGGCAGAAACACCGACTGGCCGCCGAAAAGGTGCGTGCCGGATGGGCAACGGCCGCCGGGCATTGCTCGGTACTTCGAAATGGCATGAACCCTGAGTCATTCCTGTATATGTTTTCATATGTCAGTGGTCGCAGCAATCTTTCCTCTATTTCATGAGCTGCAAGTATAGACATTTGTTGTCGTGGCTCACTGTCGACGTTGTGAGGGCGGCAAAGCCCGTCTTTCGTCGTTCGTCTGCGGTCTGCGCCGTGTGTGACCCTTATGTGACCTCGCGTGCCCCGTATGTGACCGTGTGTGACCCTTATGTGACCGCGTGTGCCCCGTGTGTGACCTGGCGTGCCCCGTCGGCCGTCAGAAGGAGGCGGGTCCGACGTTCACGGAGCGGCGCCGCGCCGGCCAGGAGCGTCACAACCCGCTGACGCCGTTCAGACGGAAGGAGCGACCCGCAGAGGGCCGGGTGAGTACAGGGGCGGTCACAGGGGCACAGGGGCGGTCACAGGGGCAGTCACAGGGGAGGTCACAGGGGCGGACCACAAGGGCAGTCACAGGGGCGGTCATAGAGTCGGTCACAGGAGCTGGGTCACAGGGGCGGTCACTGGGGCAGTCACAGGGGAGGTCACAGGGGCGGTTACATGGGGCAGTCACAGGGGCGGTCAGTGGTCACAGGGGCGGTCACAGGGAGGTCACAGAGGGCGGTCACAGAGTCGGTCACAGGGGTGGTCACAGGTCATAGGTCACAATATCGCAGTGGTGAGTCGCAGTGCCGGGCAGTGTGAACTGTGTATATACCTACAGTCTGTGGGCTATCTGTGCAGTATTGACCGTGTCTGACTGTCCCCCTGTCCTCGGGCAGGCGGGCGGCGGCGGCCCGGCGGCGGCGGCCGACCCCGGCCCCGCAGACCCGGCCGACGCCGAACACGACCCCGACCAGAAGCGCAGCATCACCTACCAGATGGCCAAGAACAAGGGGCTGATGCCCAAACGCAGCCGCGAGAGCCGCAACCCGCGCGTCAAACACAAGGAAAAGTTCAAACGGGCGCTCAAGAAGCGCCGCAGTCTGGTGAGTAAACTGAACACTGATGTTTTGCAGTAAGGCACGAACACGGGTGTTCCCGTGTCCCCATATATCAGCTGTGTGTTTCCGGGTTCTGCGGCACCTGAGCGAGCGTCATTTGAGCGAACGACATTTGAGCGAAACATTTTCAGCGATTATCAATTTAAGCGATTGGCTTTTTACAGCGATTGTCAAGTCGGCGAATTCAATCACAGCGATTATCAACTTAAGCGAGGACCAGAATCAGCGAAACCAGATTGAGCGAATACATGGAGGTCAATGGGGGACCAATTGAGCGAACACAGTTACAGCGAAACCGAACGCGACGGAAGTCAATCATTTGCTACTTTTCGGTAATTCTTGCCCTTGGAATACCCGCTTGGTAGGTATGTGTCATGCTTCAAGCTGCGCGCGGCAAATTAAAAATTTGCTTTTTGCTTGGAAACCACAAAAATATCTGGCCTCATTCTTCAACCTTGATCTGGAAATATGGAACGTGAGAGATAGGACGATGGAAGGAATGCCAAGGACCAATAATAAACTCGAGGGATGGCACAGGGGGATCCAGTCTATGTTTCAGGGACCTCACCCAAATATCTGAAAATTCGTACGTTGTTTGTATGTATGTATGTATGTATGTATTGACGATCAAGAGCAATCCACAATCGGCGTGGCGATTACACTCCTTTGTTTGGGCAAGAACAAATTTTACAACATGGGGAACTGATCTAAATTCAAGCGGGGGAATTTCGCGAAAAACAGCACAAGCAATATGAATCTCTGAACAAACGTTTGGTCTTCATTATTGGCAAACAGCAGAAGGGGGGGGGGGGTGAAAGCAAACCGCTGGAATTTTTGAGAAATTTGGCATTAAATTTGGAGCTTAATGTCTGAAATTTGAACGTGACATCCGCCATCCAGTTCCGGATAACCATGAAAAGTTCCGGAAACATTCGTTGTACGTACGCTCGCAAAAGAAAAAAGAAAAAAGAAAAAATACACCGTTACGGGACAATGAGGTGCTTCGCTGAAATGACAGTCGCTCAAACTGTAGTCGACGAGAAAGATGTCGCTGAAACATAGCTTTCGCTTAAATTGATAATCGCTATATTTGATAATCGCTCAATTTGATATTCGCTAAGTTGCCAGTCGCTGAAAATGGTTCGCTCAAATGACGTTCGCTCAAATGACACTCGCTAAAGTCGCTCGCACCGGTGTTTCCGTTATCAGTTGTATGCGTTTGATATCGATATATCAGCTGTGTGTGTACAGTCTTAAAAGTACTGCGCAAAGTAACGGTGGATCCATCAAGCCTGACCGATGAAGGACTACTAAATTTGAGTCACCGAAGCAATTGACCTGGGGAATGGACGTCGGACGAGGATGTCAATTGCTTCGGTGACTTTCAAATTATAGCAGGACCTTCCTCGGTCAGGCTTGATGGATCCACCGTTACTTTGAGCGGTACTTTTAAGACAGACTGTACGTGGTTCAATACAGGTGTATGTGTGTGGGATGTCGATGCAGCCGCATGTGCGTCTGTGATATCGATATATCAGCTCTGGCCGCCCGTGTTCCCGATATGCTATAATAGCTGTGTGTCCCGATGTATTATCTCCGTGGCCGTGCTACCTTCGTTATGCATCGCCTCTGGCTGTCCGTTTCCGATAAGTATATCACATCTGTGTTCTGCCCGCATCCACAGGTGCGTCTGCCCAAGAAGGAGCTCCAGAAGTATGGCGGAGAGGTGTTCGGCATCCGCATGGGCGCCGTCAAGAGCGTCTCCATTAAATAGTGACAGAAGGCGGCGTCAGTCGGCGCAGCGACCGCAGGCGCTCCGTCCGGACTGCCGCCGTGTGCGGTCCGCGGTCCGTGTCAGGACCGTGTGGTCCGGGGTCTGTGGTCCGGACTGTCTGGGACGTGTGGTCGGTGTCCTGTGGTTCGGGTCTGTCTGGGCCGTGTGGTCCATGTCATGTGGTCCGGACAGTGTGGTCCGCGGTCTGTCTGGGCCGTTTGGTCCGTGTCATGTGGTCCGCGGGCCGTGTTGTGTGGTCCGGGGCACGGACCGTGTGGTCCGGGGTCCGCGATGGGCGTCTCCTTGTTCAGTACAGCGTGGCGTTGGGAACAGAAATACACGGGTGCCTGCGGACACAATTACTGGTCGTCTGTACACCTGGGGTAATGTCCGATAGAAAGTGAGCGCGGCGTATTCCCTCCCCCCCCCCCCCCCCCCGAGGCCCAGCCCCTCCTGTCAGCTCGAACCCAACCCAGGTCGTTGGTGCGGCTCCCCACAGTGGGCCGCGTCTCGGCCGGGCCAGGGTAAGAAATAGCGACCTGTGACAGTGTTTTGGTTATTCTCCGACACTGGGACGGTGTGTATTTGTTCTGCGACACTGTGACGGTGTGTATTTGTTATTATCAGACACTGGGACGGTGTGTTTTGGTTATTCTCCGACACTGGGACGGTGTGTATTTGTTATTCTCCGACACTCCCCACAGACCTGTGACGGTATTCATTGGTTATTCTCCCGACACTGCGACGACCTGTATTGGTTATTCTCTTCGAAAGTACCGTAAGTACTTATGGCCGTGACCGTAGGTATTAGTTATTCTCCGACACTCTGTTGGTGTGTATTGCTTATTCTCAGACAATCCCCAGAGACCTGTGACGGCCCAGGACCACACCGTGACGGTGTGTATTGGATATTCTCAGATACGGTGACGGTGTGTATTGGATATTCTCAAATACGGTGACGGTGTGTATTGGATATTCTCCGATACTAGTGTGATGTGGCTATCCTCGTACACTCCCCAGAGACCTGTCACGGTATATGTATTGGTTATTCTCCGACACTGACGGTGTTGTTGGTTGTTCGACACTCCCCGTTAACCTGTGACGGTACATGTATTGGTTATTCTCCGACACTGTGACGGTGCAAGTATTGGTTATTGTCCGATACTGTGACGGTGTTGTTTGTTATTCTCCGACACTCGCCGTTAACCTGTGACGGTGCATGTATTGGTTATTCTCCGACACTGACGGTGTTTGTTATTCTCCGACACTCCTCGATAACCTGTGACGGTGCATGTATTGGTTATTCTCCGACACCGCCCAGTGCGGCGGCCTCCCTCCAGAGCCAGGTGAAGATGGAAATCTCATCACGCCATGTCAATGAAACAGAAACAATACTGACGGCGCCGGCGACGGGCGCCCACACTCACACACCGCACAGACTGGCACCGGCGCTCGGACAGCAGCCGGCCGCCGAGACAGATCAGCACCAACGGTAGGAGCCGGCCGCCGCGGCAGATCAGCACCTGCGGTAGGAGCCGGCGGCCGCGGCAGATCAGCACCTGTGGTAGGAGCCGGCCGCCCGTTTACGTGAAGGTGAAGCCGGCCTCTGCGTAGGTGGTGAATATTTTCTGGATGGAGTTGATGTAGGCGGCCGTGCGCAGGTCCAGGCCCAGGTTGTACTTGGACGCCGTGCTCATGATGGCCTGCGGGGCACAGTCAGGGTGCGGTCAGGTCACGGGGGTCCGGTCACAGAGTCAGGTCACAGCTCAGGTCACAGGGGTCCGGACACAGCTCAGGTCACCGGGCAGAGGGTGCGGTCAGGTCACAGGGGTCCGGTCACAGCTCAGGCCACAGCTCAGATCACCGGGCAGAGGGTGCGGTCAGGTCACAGAGTAGTTTACATCCCGGTATTTATTTTATTAGTAAAGTAATCTTGGTTTACGTCTCGGTTCACCGGCGGGCGGGACAGTGCTCCACCTGCGGCGCCGCGCTGGGCGGCTCAGTTTCACACTGCCTGTCCCGGGCGGGGCGCAGTACCCACTCACCCGCGCCGAGCGCTCCATGGTGTGGTCCAGGCCCGGGTGGACAATGTCCTTCTCCGATACTACCACTACTACCACTACTACGATACTACTACTCACCCGCGCCGAGCGCTCCATGGTGTGGTCCAGGCCCGGGTGGACAATGTCCTTCTCCGATACTACTACCAGTATAACGCCTTTTGGGGCGAATAACGGAGCGAGCGAGAGGGTGAGCCTTGCACGTGCGAAATTTCGAGGGGGTACCTCCAACTGACTTGTGCACGGCACCCTACTAACCGGTCTCTAGCGATGTGCCAAATTTGAGCACAATCGGCCCAGCCGTTCTCGAGATCTGGAAGCGGCACCCTGCACGTGCGCACGTGCAGAATGGGTTCCAACTGACTTGTGCACGGCACCCTACTAACTGGTCCCTAACCGTGTACCAAATTTGAGCGCCATCGGTCCAGCCGTTCTCGAGATCTGGAAACGACCCCTGCACGTGCGCACGTGCAGCAGCACCCCAACTCTGGCACATGGATGTGCAGTGCCTAGTGGGTGCCTACCTACATGCCAACTTTCAGCGCAATCGGCCAAGTAGTTACCGAGATATTGCAACAATTATAAAACTGACACCTCTTCGTTTTGCGCGTGGCACGTGCATAAGGGGTCACCCACATGCATCGGGAATAGTCCAATACTTGGTAGAAGGAATGAAGCTACCCTACAAAAATTACCCCGTGTAAATCGGTCAAGTGGTTGCTGAGATATAAGCCTCGCAAAAGCGTCCGCACGGCCGGCCGCTCATACTCAGAAATTTCCGTTAATCTAAGGAAAGACTACGCTCGCTTCGCTCGCTCCGTAACTACTACCACTACTACGATACTACTACTCACCCGCGCCGAGCGCTCCATGGTGTAGTCCAGGCCCGAGTGGACAATGTCCTCCGATACTACTACTACTACCACTACTACGATACTACCCACTCACCCGCGCCGAGCGCTCCATGGTGTAGTCCAGGCCCGAGTGGACAATGTCCTTCTCCGATACTACTACTACTACTACCACTACTACGATACTACTACTCACCCGCGCCGAGCGCTCCATGGTGTAGTCCAGGCCCGAGTGGACAATGTCCTTCTCCGATACTACTACTACTACTACCACTACTACGATACTACTACTCACCCGCGCCGAGCGCTCCATGGTGTGGTCCAGGCCCGAGTGGACGATGTCCTTCTCCGATACTAATACTACTACCACTACTACGATACTACAACTCACCCGCGCCGAGCGCTCCATGGTGTGGTCCAGGCCCGGGTGGACAATGTCCTCCGATACTACTACTACTGCTACCACTACTACGATACTACTACTACTACTACTCACCCGCGCCGAGCGCTCCATGGTGTAGTCCAGGCCCGAGTGGACAATGTCCTTCTCCGATACTACCACTACTACCACTACTACGATACTACTACTCACCCGCGCCGAGCGCTCCATGGTGTAGTCCAGGCCCGAGTGGACGATGTCCTTCTCCGATACTACCACTACTACTACTACTACTACCACTACTACGATACTACAACTCACCCGCGCCGAGCGCTCCATGGTGTGGTCCAGGCCCGGGTGGACAATGTCCTCCGATACTACTACTACTGCTACCACTACTACGATACTACTACTACTACTACTCACCCGCGCCGAGCGCTCCATGGTGTAGTCCAGGCCCGAGTGGACAATGTCCTTCTCCGATACTACCACTACTACCACTACTACGATACTACTACTCACCCGCGCCGAGCGCTCCATGGTGTGGTCCAGGCCCGAGTGGACGATGTCCTTCTCCGATACTAATACTACTACCACTACTACGATACTACAACTCACCCGCGCCGAGCGCTCCATGGTGTGGTCCAGGCCCGGGTGGACAATGTCCTCCGATACTACTACTGGCTACTACCACTACTACGATACTACTACTCACCCGCGCCGAGCGCTCCATGGTGTAGTCCAGGCCCGAGTGGACGATGTCCTTCTCCGATACTACCACTACTACCACTACTACGATACTACAACTCACCCGCGCCGAGCGCTCCATGGTGTGGTCCAGGCCCGGGTGGACAATGTCCTCCGATACTACTACTACTGCTACCACTACTACGATACTACTACTACTACTCACCCGCGCCGAGCGCTCCATGGTGTAGTCCAGGCCCGGGTGGACAATGTCCTTCTCCGATACTACCACTACTACCACTACTACGATACTACTACTCACCCGCGCCGAGCGCTCCATGGTGTGGTCCAGGCCCGGGTGGACAATGTCCTTCTCCGATACTACCACTACTACCACTACTACGATACTACTACTCACCCGCGCCGAGCGCTCCATGGTGTAGTCCAGGCCCGAGTGGACGATGTCCTTCTCCGATACTACCACTACTACTACTACTACTACCACTACTACGATACTACTACTCACCCGCGCCGAGCGCTCCATGGTGTAGTCCAGGCCCGAGTGGACAATGTCCTTCTCCGAGGCACCCTGCGGCAGACAGACAGACGGTCTCAGTGACGGACAGACGGTCTCAGTGACTGTCAAAGGGACAGACGGTCTCAGTGACTGTCAGACGGTCTCAGTGACGGACAGACTAATTACGGTCTCAGTGACGGACAGACTAATTAACGGTCTCAGTGACGGACAGACGGACAGACGGTCTCAGTGACGGACAGACGGTTTTAGTGACGGACAGACGGTCTCAGTGACGGACAGACAGACCGACGGTTTCAGTGACGGACAAACAGACAGACAGACGATTCAGTGACGGACAGACGGTCTCAGTGACGGACAGACGGTCTTAGTGACGGACAGACAGACGGACAAGGTCTCAGTGACGGACATAGAGACGGACAAGGTCTCAGTGACGGACAGACAGACGGACAGAAGGTCTTAGTGACGGACAGACAGACGGACAGACGGTTTCAGTGACGGACAGACAGACGGTCTCAGTGACGGACAGACGGTCTTAGTGACGGACAGACAGACGGACAGAAGGTCTCAGTGACGGACAGAGGGATTCGGTGACGGACAAACAAGACGATCTCAGTGAAGGGCAGCGGGTACACAAGGCCACTCGCCACCCGCCCGTCCACACGGACACGACTCAACCCCCAACAGACTGCTAGTCGGACAGTTAACAGACTGCAGTCACAATAGTCGGTCAGAGACCGGCACGGAATCGAGCTACCGGCGCGTGTCAGCCTCGTCCCGGGCCGGGCCGGGCCGGCGCCGCGGCAGGCACCGGGCCGCGGCCCCCACCCGGCGCGCCCACCCGCGGACAGGCACCGACCCGACGGACCGCGGGCAGACACTGGACAGACACTGGACAGACCCGCGGGCAGACACTCACCGCGATCCGCTTCTGGAAGGATGACGACGGCGTGATGGGGATTTTGCCTCCGACCCTGCCGAACCGTCGCTCCAGAGACTCCTGGACGGACTCTGCCGACAGACGGATACAGTGAGTCAGACACGGACAGTCGGACAGAGATACAGTCGAACACAGTCAGACGCAGAGAGACACGGAGAGGCACGGACACACCGCCACCGCCCGCGGAGCTGCCCGGTCGCCGGCTGCTCCAGGCGGCAGGCACAGGCGGCGCTGAGCGCGATCAGGGGATTCGGCAGACACCCGGGGTTCACAGGGACGGCAGGCAGCGACAGCAGGCATCACGGTGCACAGGGCAGTACACACTAGGACGGTACACAGAGACAGCAAACAGGAGCAGTACACAGGACAGAACACGGGGTACACAGGGCAGTACACAGGGCAGTACACACTAAGACGGTACACAGGGACGGCAAAGAGGAGCAGTACACAGGACAAAACACAGGGCAGAACACGGGACAAAACACAGGGCAGTACACGGGACAAAACACAGGGCAGTACACGGGACAAAACACAGGGCAGTACACATGACAAAACACAGGGCAGTACACGGGACAGTACACGGGACAAAACACAGGGCAGTACACATGACAAAACACAGGGCAGTACACGGGACAGTACACGGGACAAAACACAGGGCAGAGCACAGGGACGGTAAAGAGGACAGTACACGGGACAGTGCACGGGACGGCACACAGGGACGGCAAACAGGAGCAGTACACAGGACAGAACACGGGACAGTACACAGGACAGAACACGGGACAGTACACAGGACAGTACACAGGGCAGCACACGGGACAGAACACAGGGCAGTACACGGGACGGTACACAGGGCAGTACACGGGACAGTACACGGGACAGTACACGGGACGGTACACAGGGCAGTACACGGGACAGTACACGGGAGGTTACACACGGACGGTAAAGAGGAGCAGTACACAGGACAGAACACGGGACAGAACACAGGACAAAACACAGGGCAGTACACAGGACGGTACACAGGGACGGTACGCAGGGACGGTACGCAGGGACGGCAAAGAGGAACAGTACACAGGACAGAGCACTCTAGGGACGGCACAGCACCATCAGTCAGCGCACTAGCCGAGCCCACCTACGCGCGGTGGACAGTGAACACCAACAGGTCTGGGTGGAAATATCCCCCTAAACGGGTTAAAACTGAGACACCGAACACTGTGGCCTGGACGGGTTACTTAGAAATACGGTGTAAAGGACCACATTAAGTGCTGTCAAACTACAAAAATCACAGTTAATCAAGCTGAGGGCTGCGAGTGGGCTTGGAGTGCGTGTTTAACGTTACCAGGGCCATGCTAAGTGACAACAGGGTTGATATTGGGAGGTACAGGGTTGCTATTGGGAGGGTCAGGATAGGTGGGAGCTGAGACAGTGCTGGGGTAAGGGATCCGAGCTCGGGTTGACACTAGGGCAGATCGGGTAGAGTCCGGGCCAGGTGGGACAATAATCGGGACAAATAGCCAGGTGGGTCTGGGGAAATAGTCGGACAAGTGGGAAAACGACTAGCCGGCTAACAGTCAGGGACAGGAGATGTGATAGGCCTCAGAGAGGGACTGGAGCGGAAAGAGAGATGGAGGCCGGGAGGAGAGAGCAGAGAGAGACAGGCAGAGGGTTGAGGAGGGAAGTGAGGGGTTACGTTAGAGAGTGGAACAGTTAGGTAGGAGAGGCGGGAGGCTTGCCTGACTGGTTCCGAGAGAAGTAGTGCTCGAGAGACTCCTGGACAGAGTCTGTCGGCACAGAGCGCAACGGCCGGGTCAGACGCGGAGAGGTCAGGACGGCCGGGGTACAGGTCAGGACACAGGGCAGCCGCGCTGGGCACAGCTCAGGGGCCAAATGGCGTCAGAGACGGGGGAACAGTCGGCAGGACCATAAGGAGAAAACGGCAGAATGAGGAACAAGGATCAGAAGCGAGGACCATTATAAGCATTGAGACACACCGCAAGAAGGCAGGAGCAACGGATTAGAAACACGGTCTCAGAATGGCGATAACAGCGCACTGTAGAGCTCGGACTAGCGGTAAGCGTGTGCTGTGACCCCGGCCTGGCGCGCTCCAGGGGCGGTGTGGGTAGCTGGAGAGGGTGGCGGAGCGCGGGTGTCCGGGCCGCCGGACCGGCTGCGGGGGGTGGCCGGGCAGCCTGACCGGCTGCGGGTGTTCGGGCCGCCGGACCGGCTGCGGGGGTGTCCGGCCGCCTTACCGAGCAGGTGGTGGTTCGAGTCCTTCTCATATTTGAACGTCAGCCGGCCGTAGCTGACGTGGTTCAGGTTCTTGAGCCACTCGAAGTACGACACTGTCACACCACCTGTCCGACACAACAGCGGCTGTCAGAGGGAGGGACCGTCACAGGAACTCGTGTCACACAGACCGTCACACCACCTGTCAGACACAACACGGGCTGTCAGAGGGAGGGAACTGTCACACAGACCGTCACACAGACCGTCACACCACCTGTCCGACACAACACGGGCTGTCAGAGGGAGGGAACTGTCACACAGACCGTCACACCGCCTGCTGGACACAACAGCGGCTGTCAGAGAGAGGGACTGTCACGGGCACTAGAACACGATTATCCCCCCCCCCCACACACACACACACCGGCCACCCACCGTCCTCCAGGTGTAGCGATCCTGCGCCCGCCGCGTCCCGGCCTGTGCCTCTCTGTGGCGCGCCTCTACGCTGTGTTCTGTGTCTCTGCCCGTCTGTATCTTCATGGGTCCACCCCTCACCATCCGGAGCGGCGTTAAGACACAGCACGCCGCTCTATATCTCCCGCTGTCTCCCCTGTATCTCCCGCTGTCTGCCCTTTATCACCCCCTGTCTCTCCCCTATACCCCCTGTGTCTCCCGCTGTATCTCCCTGTGTCTCCACCTGTCTCTCCCTATCTCCCTCTGTGTCTTCTCTGTCTCTCACATCTGTCTCCCGCCTGTGTCTCCCGCCTGTGGCTTTGTACCGGCGTTGAGGTTGGGGATGACCAGAACGCCGTTCTGTGTCTCCCTGTCTCACCCCTATATCTCCCCCTGTATCCCCCTGTAGCTCCCTGTCTCTCCCCTGTGTTTCCCTGTGTCTTCCCTGTGTCTCGGGTTCGTACCGGCGTTGAGGTAGAGGTCGGGGATGACCAGCACGCCATTCTGTGTGTCTCCTAGTCTGTATCTCCCCTGTCTCCCCTGTATCTCCCTGTGTCTCCCCTGTATCTCCCCTGTCTCCCCTGTGTCCCGGGTTCGTACCGGCGTTGAGGTAGAGGTCGGTGATGACCAGCACGCCGCTCTGTGTGTCTCCCCTGTATTTCCCTGTGTCTCCCCTGTGTCTCAGGTTCGTACCGGCGTTGAGGTAGAGGTCGGGGATGACCAGAACGCCGTTCTGTGTCTCCCTGTGTCTCCCCTGTGTTTCCCTGTGTATCCCTGTGTCCCGGGTCCGTACCGGCGTTGAGGTAGAGGTCGGGGATGACCAGCACGCCGTTCTCTGTGTCTCCCTATATCACCCCTGTGCCTCCCGCTGTAGTTCGTACCGGCGTTGAGGTAAAGGTCGGGGATGACCAGCACGCCGTTCTCCTGCAGAATTTTGTCGGCCGCCGGAGTGATGGGTCCGTTGGCCGCCTCGCCGATGATCTAAGAAAACACACACACAAACATACACACAGGGTCAGCGGGCGGTACCTACTGAGGGGAGGGACCGCGGGCAGACACTGAGGGACCGAGCACTGAGGGGCACGGACTGAGCGCTGAGAGGGGAGGACTAAGGGACCCGGGCCCAGTACTGCCGAACGGTACCCCGCCGAACGGTACCCCGCGGTACCGCTCCAGTCCGTACTCCGTACCGCTTCTTCATCAACCACTGCACCCGCAACACATCACTTAACTGTTACCCGTCCCTCTCTCCCTCCCGCCACTCTGCACTGCGCTGTGGCCGGCGGTACCTTGGCCTGCACTTTGCTGGCGTACTGTACTCCTCCCTCCCTCCCTCCCGCCACAGCCCGCTCAGCACTGCCCGTCGGTACCTTGGCCTGCACTTTGCTGGCGTTTCCGCTGTGGATGGCCTTCTCGACGGCGGCCGGCACGAGGATGTCGCACTTCTCGAGCAGCAGGTCCTCGCCCGTGTACGCCTGCGCGCCCGGGAAGTTGTTGATGGTGCCGTGCTCCAGCTTCCAGTCCTCCAGCTCCTGCGGGACGGGCAGTAACGGACAGTCAGATATACAGACACACAGACACACAGACACACAGACTCAGTCTTCCAGCTCCTGTGGGCGGTGGACAGACATACAGAGTAAGACAGAGACAGAAAGAGAGACAGACATGCAGGCAGACACACAGACACAGTCAGTCTCAGTCCTCCAGCTCGACCTGTGGGCGGCGTCCGATATCAGTAGTTTCAGTTACCTATCAGCGGTGCCACCCGTGTCCCAGCTACCTGAACTAGGACCACCGCACCCTATCCTCAGTGCCCCAATATGTTGACTTTCGTAACTCCCTTCCCGCTTTGTGTGGTGACCTTGAGGTCCGAGCCGTCCGGACTGCATCAGTACCCCCCCCCCCCTCGGGGCCAGGACTTGGGGTCCATGCCGTCTGGGTTGTAGATGGAGCCGCCCCCCCCGCTGACCCCTGTACCCCTCCCTGTACACTGACCTTGGGGTCCATGCCGTCCGGGTTGTAGATGGAGCCGTCCCCCCCCCCCCCCCCCCCGCTGACCCCTGTACCCCTCCCCTGTACACTGACCTTGGGGTCCATGCCGTCCGGGTTGTAGATGGAGCCCCCCCCCCCCCCCGCTGACCCCTGTACCCCTCCCCTGTACACTGACCTTGGGGTCCATGCCGTCCGGGTTGTAGATGGAGCCGTCTACCTCCTTTATACCGATACAGGTGGCACCGGCCCGGTGCAGGTAGCGCATCGTGTGCAGACCCACGTTACCGAAACCCTGCCGGATCACAGCGGGGTCACAACAGGGTCGCAGCGGGTCACAGCAGGGTCACAACCGGTCACAATAGGTCACAGCGGGTCACAATAGGTCACAGCAGAGGACAGGACGATTGAGAGCGAGCTCGAAGTGAAACACTCATTGATAGAAAGAAGCAAAGCTCTTATTGTGCGTGCCCTTTGTGAGACTTCGATCTCGGCCACCGTGCTGAGCCGGCTGACTAGCGGCCTGCTATGCTGGGTAACCTCATCCCTTTCACCACGCGTCAGAGAACCAGTAATGACGTGTCTGGGTGACCACCGCGAGACGTGCACCGTGCAAAGTAAAACGGCGCTCGCATAGTTCCCCTTACCACAGCTCTGCCCTGTATGGACCGATTGCACTGAGGCTTGGCCGATACGTGGATGCGTTCCCATGTATCACGGTTGGGGTCAGGGTACACGTGCGCACGTGCGGGAGGCGCCCGTTTGAAGACCGCTCGGCTGAGTGGCCCGGCAGTCTGTTGGGGATCTCGATATGCACGTGCAGGACTCCCTATCACAGCCGAGTGGCCGGAGCCCACCGGGCGGGGCTCCGCCGGCGGTCACACAGCGGCCCGGTGAGGCGATACTCCCCCGCCCCGCCCGCCCGTCCGCCGGGCCCGTCTCTCACCTGAATGATGAACGTCTTGCCGCCCCAGCCGGGCCCGTCTCTCACCTGAATGATGAACGTCTTGCCGCCCCAGCCGGGCCCGTCTCTCACCTGAATGATGAACGTCTTGCCGCCCCAGCCGGGCCCGTCTCTCACCTGGATGATGAACGTCTTGCCGCCCCAGCCGGGCCCGTCTCTCACCTGGATGATGAACGTCTTGCCGCCCCAGCCGGGCCCGTCTCTCACCTGGATGATGAACGTCTTGCCGCCCCAGCCGGGCCCGTCTCTCACCTGAATGATGAACGTCTTGCCGCCCCAGCCGGGCCCGTCTCTCACCTGAATGATGAACGTCTTGCCGCCCCAGCCGGGCCCGTCTCTCACCTGGATGATGAACGTCTTGCCGCCCCAGCCGGGCCCGTCTCTCACCTGGATGATGAACGTCTTGCCGCCCCAGCCGGGCCCGTCTCTCACCTGGATGATGAACGTCTTGCCGCCCCAGCCGGGCCCGTCTCTCACCTGGATGATGAACGTCTTGCCGCCCCAGCCGGGCCCGTCTCTCACCTGGATGATGAACGTCTTGCCGCCCCAGCCGGGCCCGTCTCTCACCTGGATGATGAACGTCTTGCCGCCCCAGCCGGGCCCGTCTCTCACCTGGATGATGAACGTCTTGCCGCCCCAGCCGGGCCCGTCTCTCACCTGGATGATGAACGTCTTGCCGCCCCAGCCGGGCCCGTCTCTCACCTGGATGATGAACGTCTTGCCGCCCCAGCCGGGCCCGTCTCTCACCTGGATGATGAACGTCTTGCCGCCCCAGCCGGGCCCGTCTCTCACCTGGATGATGAACGTCTTGCCGCCCCAGCCGGGCCCGTCTCTCACCTGGATGATGAACGTCTTGCCGCCCCAGCCGGGCCCGTCTCTCACCTGAATGATGAACGTCTTGCCGCCCCAGCCGGGCCCGTCTCTCACCTGGATGATGAACGTCTTGCCGCCCCAGCCGGGCCCGTCTCTCACCTGGATGATGAACGTCTTGCCGCCCCAGCCGGGCCCGTCTCTCACCTGGATGAGGAACGTCTTGCCGCCCCAGCCGGGCCCGTCTCTCACCTGAATGATGAACGTCTTGCCGCCCCAGCCGGGCGTGTGGCCGATCATCGACATGTAGTTGGCCTCCATGATAAAGTTCTCCAGACCGTGGAACACACCGCGGCCTGAGAGAGCGGGGGCACGTTACAGAGGGACAGAGACAGGGACAGACAGACAAGACAGAGAGACAGAGGCAGACAGACAGAGACAGAGACAGACAGACAGAGAGACAGAGCGCGGCCTGTGAGACCGTGGAACACGCCGCGGCTTCGGGAACCGCATACGCCTCGTGAACCGCATACGCGTCGCAGACATCAGAGAAATGTTTTTAGAGACAGAAACTAAGCTTGACGTTTTTCATGATCGTTTTGTGCATTGGAGTAATATACGGAGTGATGATGAAAGAAAGAGACAGGGAGACCGATAGACAAACGGGCGTAGCGCTGTTGGACAGGGGGGGGGGGACCGGAGCGGACAGACGAGCAGACAACGGACCGCAGATCAGACAGAGGAAGCTGACGGCATGGACACACAGAGCCGTGTAAATATCGGAAACCTTCACCAGACGCTGATCAGACTCGAACCACCGAACAGACACAGACAGAGCGGTGCTTCACCGACTTGTGGCCGAATAGGGTGTCACACTGACCTGTGGCCGAGACGCGGCCGTGGATGCCGCCCTGGTTGATCGGCTTGCCGGTCACACACGCGTGCGCGTTAATGTCCAGATGACCTGCCGACGGACGGGGTACGGTCAGCCACAGTCGGGGCGAGAGGTAACAGATCGGAGGTCAGCCAGCAGCCAGTGTCGGCAGCCCCGGCCAGTAGGCGGCGGCACACACTGCTGGCACCCACACACAGACCCGGGCGGACAGAGAGCCCGGCCTCCTGGGCTGAGTTGGATGACGTAGTGGCCATGATTCATTCAATAGGAACACTGGACCTATACTGTACTTGTAAGGACAGCGCCCGGATAGTGTGATCGTATGTTGTCATTGGTGAGGCCTGGGTGGGTGGAACGGTCCAGCTTCGGTCCTGTTCCCGCCAGAAGCCGCGGCCGTAACGAAGCAGGAGCTCTGCAGCCGAGCCCTGCCCTCCTCCCTCTGCACGTCCCTCCCCGGTCCTCTCCCACTCCTCTCTCTGCCCCTGTCGCTCTCCCACTCCTCTCTCACCAATGGTCTAGGCGTACGTGTCGGCGATCCAGGCCATCTCCCGCCCCTCCACTGCCCTCCTCCCTCTGCCCCTGTCGCTCTCCCACTCCTCTCTCACCGATGGTCTTGGCGTACGTGTCGGCGATCCAGGCCATCTCCCGCTCTCCGGTTCCCATGTCGGGCGCCGGCACGTCAATACCCGGCCCTGTCAACGGACCGAGACAGAAGTGGGGCGGCGGCGAAACACAGTACACAGGGTGAGCAGCGCGGCGGAACACAGCTGACGGCAGAGCACATGGCGACAGAACACAGCGCGGCGGAACACAGGGCGCAGAGCCAGCGGCCCGACAACAAACCACACAGCGCCGGATACACAGCGGAGAGCAACACAGCGCCGGAGACCCCGGAGTGGCGCACGGCGTACACCGGAGACCCCGGAGTGGCGCACGACGTACACCGGAGACCCCGGAGTGGCACCACGGGCCGCAGTGCAGTGTTCAACTGTTCAGACCCCAGCTCCTACCCGCCCGCCGCCGCCGTCCTCACCGATGAAGCCCTTCTTGGCCAGCTCCAGCGTGAACCGGCGGGTGATCTTCTCCAGCTCATGCTCAGAGTATTTGAACGGGTCGATACGAATACCGGCCTTGGCGCCGCCTGGGGAACAGAAAACACACAGCTGACCACACACGGAACACAGAGCAGACCACACACAGAACACAGAGCTGACCACACACAGAACACAGAGCTGACCACACATGGAACACAGAGCTGACCACACACAGAACACAGAGCTGACCACACATGGAACACAGAGCTGACCACACACAGAACACAGAGCGGACCACACACAGAACACAGAGCGGACCACATACGGAACACAGAGCTCACTGAACCCGACCACACACAGAACACACACCTCACTGAACCTGAACACACACGGAACACAGAGCTAACTGAACCTGAACACACACGGAACACAGAGCTGACCACACACGGAACACAGAGCTGACCACACACAGAACACAGAGCTGACCACACACGGAACACAGAACTCACTGAAACTGACCACACACAGAACACTGAGCTCACTGAACCTGAACACACACGGAACACAGAGCTCACTCAAGTCATGAACACCGCAAAGAAAGATGTATTGTAGGTACATTACACTCGTAGACCTGGTGAGACCTTTCAGAGTATGTCGCCGATCACCTGCGCAAGTGACAAATATTATTTCTGCTCGGAGGACTCATTTACAGCGTTCAGCCCCAGGGCAGCGATCCCGCTCACAGGAGGGACGGTTCACACAGAGCACACTGGGCCACTAAGGGCCGGTTCTCTCTGGTCAGTGATACCACTAAGGGCCGGTTCACGCTGGTCAGTGATACCATTAAGGGCCAGTTCTCTCTGGTCAGTGATACCGGTTCACTTTGGGGGCAGTGATAACACCAAGGGCCGGTTCACACTGTATGTGACACCTGTCCACTCTGGTCATTGATACCACTAGGGGCCGGTCCACTCTGGTCAGTGATACCACTAAGAGCCAGTTCACACCTACCGAAGGGCACGTCGACGCAGGCGCACTTGAAGGTCATCAGCGCGGAGAGGGCCTTGACCTCGTCCGTACAGACGTCCATCGAGTACCGGATACCTGCCGGTCACAGAGGTCATATGGAGGTCACAGAGAGGTCACACAGGCGTCTATCTAGTACCAGATACCTGCCGGACAGAGGTCATATAGAGGTCATATAGACGTCCATCGAGTAGCGGATACCTGCCGGTCACAGAGGTCATATACAGGTCACAGAGAGGTCACAACGATAGTCCCCGGTCAATCAGAGAGGTCATACATCATACACAGATCAAACCAGACACCAACCGGTCATACCGAGGTCATACAGAGGTTACCCGGGTCACACAGATGACCAAGTCTATTGTGAATTTCAGAGACAACCGGTGGATGTCAAAACGAGGTCAGATTCGGCCCTGCAGTCAAATGGAGGTCAGGTGGGCGCGGTTATAGGTCAGAGGTCAAAGGGGTCACACGGACACCTGACGGGGTCAGAGAGTCAGATACAGACCGAGAACTCCGCTCAGACCTCAGACGGAGACCGATTAACTCCGCTCAGACCTCAGACGGAGTCAGCTGCTCCGTATCGCGACCGACACACCGGCCGGCCGCCAGTTCAAGGGACGGACAGAGGTCAGTTCAGGGGACGGACAGGGGTCAGTTCAGGGGACGGACAGGGGTCAGTGCAGGGGACGGACAGGGGTCAGTTCAGGGACGGACAGGGGTCAGTACAGGGGCGGATAGAGGTCAGTACAGGGGGCGGACGGCGGTCCCGGGCCGGGCGCCGAACGGCTTAAGTCGCCAAAACCGGGGAGAGAGCCTCCACCAACCACTCATCCCTTCAGTCACATCTAAGAATCACCAAAGCTGCTGCAGCCTCCCAGTCTGCTGATGAACAGTCCAAGCTACTGCAGCCCCCGGTCTGCCTATGAACAGTCCACCTCAGCGAGGGTGACCGGCCAGTATCCAATGGACGCTGATCTGATCAGTGATCAATTGGTCATACACCGACGACCGGACGACCGCCGCCGGCCCGTCAGCCGCCGGAAATGTACAACGGCAGCGCTACTGCTAGCGGTGGTGAAGAACAGCTTATCAAGACAACTATAGAGCTAACAACACCAGCACTATAGCGGGACGCGACACGCTGGGAAATACCGCGAAATATCAGGCCCCTGCCGGCAGTCGCATTCCTTCCACAGCTCAGTGTTGTAAGTGGGACATTCTGTGGAAGTTTCATCTCCTCCCCGCTCTGGTGCCGTCACCGGACGCCGCGCCCCGGCCCCGACCGCGTGACCGCGCCGCGGAGAGCGCCGCCCGCAGCGGCTCCGGCGAAAATCAGCTGACGCGCCCGTGGCGAGCCTCTGCGGCGGCCAATGAGCGCCCGCCGCGGCGGGGGCGCGGCCGGTGACGTCACCAGTTCTGAGGAGCTGCGCGGGGCGGCAGCGGCCGGTCTGCCGGCCGGCGGCTCCGCTGCCACCGGTACCGGGAACGGGCCGACGACCGGCGCGGCCCGGCGGCCACACAGTTCGCGCCCCGCCCCGTCCGTGGGTGGTATTTCCCATTCACAGAGCCAGGAGAGCAGCGAATAGCCTATGCCTGGTCAGAATCGCAACCCACAGCAGTGGCAGCCCGCGTCGCCCGCGCAGGCGGCGACGACTGTCTACAGAACAATCCCAGTTCTGGAGTTCAGCGCATTGAGCAATGGTTAGCCAGGACCGTTTCCCCATTACACACAGAGATCTGAACGCCAAGCCGTGGGGTGGGAGCCGACTTCCCATCAGAGCTACAGTCGAGCTGACACAGCTGACACCGCGGCTGACACAGCTGACACGGCGGCTGACACAGCTGACACGACGGCTGACACAGCTGACACACGGCGGCGGCTGTCACCGGCCGGCCGGCCAACAATAGCGACCGTCCCACCTGGCAGACCCCTCCCCCCCCCCCTCAGCCGCAACGGCCCACCCCTCCCAGCGATACATGGGAGCGACACGGGACAGCCAGGGCCGCGGTCCCGACTACCGCGATACAGGGGAGCGATACAGAGGAGCAGCACGGGACAGCCAGGACCGCGGTCTCGGCTACCGCGATACAGGGGAGCGACATGGGGGAGTCATATCGACACCTTTTTTTAAACCCCACATCTGCTCTCCCGTGAATTTCCGAGAGGCACGAAAGATCTCCTTTTAAAAGTGTCCAATCGTCCGATCCTGATCAAATATGTGTGTTCGTAGGCCTGTTCTGGTATTGCTTTATCTGCCAAGACAGACAAACTTGAGAAAAATCGAGTGATTGTACCTTTTTTGAAGGTCTCTAACCAACTTGTCTGAAATTCACCGGAAAACAAATGTGGGGTTTTAAAAAAAGGTGTCGATATAGGGGGGGGGGGGCGACACAGAGGTGCGATACGCAATGGAGCGATACATCGGAGCAACACGGGACACTGAACGGCCAGGATCACGGTCTCGGCTACGGCGGTACATGGGAGCGGCTCTGAGAAGGGACGACGCTGCTAAACCCCGGCAGCGTTACTGTACCGGTACGGCAGTGCAGCGTGCTGACCTCAGCGCCGTGTGCCGCCGGCGGGCAGTCGCCGACTCATACCGCACATAGGTACATACAGCCGTGTGCGGGGACGGGCTCCCCTCAGGTGTGAGCAGTCGCCGGTCGGCGACCCCTCCCCCCCCCCCCCACACACACAGACATGTCTGTGCTCAGCTGGCGTTCGTCTCTGTCAGCCGGTCCGCGGACCTCGCCACCAGCCCCCAGGGGCGCGACAGCCTGAGCCGACCTCGAACACCAGCCAGGGGCGCATCTGTCGACCCCGCCACCAGCCAGGGGCGCGTCTGGCACGTCTACAGCGGGGAGGGCAGGGAAAGGGCCCACAGGAATCCATCCATATTATATACAACCCTCCCCCCCCCCCATTCATTGCGAGAAGGTGACGACATGACACCACTGCGGAGAGGGCACAGTTTGGTACGACAGTTCCCTTCCTTCCGAGGCAAGATAGAAGCCAGATAAAATGCTGCCATCACACCCCTCTCCCAATGCCAACAAGCACCCGCAATCTACATAGGTACATCGTGTCTTGTCCACCTCAGGTAGTGAGGTCGATGGTTCGGGTTTTTCGGGCGCCTGGACTGCAGAGTGCAGACTGCAGAGCTCATCAGCGCCCGGCCTGTTCTGGTTAACGTCCTAATGACATGTTCTTCCAGAAACGACCCATCACTGACGCTCACTCCTTTCTCTGCCTCAGCGCGGTGCGTCTAGTTCTACCCGTCTGTCCGAGTCTGCCTCGGTAGTTGGGTGATCCCTCCGCAGTCTGAGTCCGTCCCCCCGCACCGATCGGCACCGCTCGGCAGTCGGCACCGATCAGCGCCGTCCGCCGCCCGGTGATAACCCGCGCCCGGCCCCGGCGGCCGGCCGGTCACCGGAGCGAGCGGCGGGCCGGCGCCGCTGGCCGGCCGCCAGCCGCGGTCACATGGGCGGCCGGCTGCAGCCATTCCGCTGCGCGCCGCCCGCCGCGCCCGCCGGCGCTGGCAGCGCGCCAGGGGCCGGGCCGGCGCGCCGAGACTGGGCGCCGTTGACACGGGGCAGCACACGGCGCGGCAGGCAGGTATACTCTCTCTTACCAATACTGATACACGGGAAAGGAAGTACCGGTGAACCAACGGCTAACATCGGTTCGACCCCTCCGGTCCTGTTCCTGCCCGAAATCCTCATCCATCCCCAGGTCATTGGGTTCGGTGACTCTCAAGCTTGGCAGGCCTCCTTCGGTCGGCCTAGACGGTACCGCCGCAACGTGTATCGTGTACTCTCAAGAGAGCCTGCACAGTCCTACGGCACGGTAGCAGTACGGTACCAGTAAGCTCCAGTAATGACCCGCTACCACGCACAGACTCGGACGGCCACCGCGGCTCAGTACCGGCCACCAGCGGCGGCGCCGTAACATAAACAGCCCGCCGCCGCTGCGGCCGGGAGATGTGCGGCGCTGGTGAACCGGACGGAGCCGCCGCGGACCGGCCGGCGCCCGGGAACGGCGCCCGCTGGCGACACGCAGGAGACGCTGCGGAGGCAGCACAGAGGCTCATGACCGCGCCGCGCCGAGCCGTCCGCCCGTCCTCTGCTGGCCGGCTGCCACCGCCGCCAATACAAATAGACACGCGTCGGCCGGCCGACCCGGCGCGCAGCGGAGGGGCCGGTGCGTCGGCCAACGACGCGTGAAGGTCCCGACAGACAACAGGCGCCGCCGACGGGACTGTGTCAGGGCAGACTGACTCCGAACGGGGGGCTCAGAGACAGACTCCGACTCCGACCGGGGGCTCAGAGGCAGACTCTAGACTCCGACCGGGGGGCTCAGAGGCAGACTCTGACTCCGACCGGGCGGCCCCAGCCCAGACTCAGCAGACAGTCCCGCCAGAAGAGCCGTCCTTTGCGCCTGGCGTCGGACCACCGCTGCGCCGCCGCACAGCACACCTATCACGGAGGGCCCGGAGACGGCCGGCCGCCGGTTACCGTGACAACTGGCCGGCGTCGGACGGCCGGCCGCCGGTTACCGTGACAACTGGCCGGCGTCGGACGGCCGGCCGCCGGTTACCGTGACAACTGGCCGGCGTCGGACGGCCGGCCGCCGGTTACCATGACTGTCAGTGGGCCGATGCTGACAGCGCTGGACTGTGTCATCGCCAAACCCCCAACTAGACTGGACCACGTGATACCGGACCCACAGTCCGCCCCGCACCAGACCCGGCCGCGTGATAGAGGCCAACAGTTTTGCCGTAATGAAAACACACACTTACACAGAGATACAAACAGACTGGGCCCATACGGAGTGTCACCGGACGGATAACGGCTGGGCCGCCGACCGGGGGGGGGGGGGGGGCACTCCACGCTGGACCCGGTGGGTGGCACTGTTCGAGTGGCGGTCGTAATACCCGGGACAGCCCAGCCGGGAGTTGGGCCGGGGTAGTGAGTAGTGAGTACCCTGGAACGGTCAGCACCGGACGGTCCCTGGCCGGCCGGTGCAGCGGCGGCGGACCGCCCACACAGTACGGCACAGCCGCACCCAGCGGCGGCCACAGAGCGGCCACCGCTGACATCACCCGTCCGTGGACAGTGTGCCGGCGCTGAGCCGGGCACCGAGAGAGAGATAGCTGACAGAGCAGCGCCCCGCGCCGCGCCTGGGCCCCAGCGGTCTGCGAGGCACGGCCCGCTGCCACCAGTGACCCCGGCCGCACCGGGTCTCACCACTGACCCGCCGACACGGGGCGGGGGGCGGGGAGGGGCAGCACCGCTGAGGGACGGGGACGGGGCGGGGGCGGGGCGGGGGCTCGTCTGTACGCCAAGGTCGACCGGTCCGCCACCGCGCGGCCGACCGACCACAGGCCGCAGCGGCGACCGACGGCCGAACGACGGCCATGGGACAGCGGACAGCGGCAACCAGCAGCCATGGGACGGCGGTAACTGACAGCCATGGGACAGCGACAACCAGCAGCCATGGGGCGGCGGTAACTGACAGCCATGGGACGGCGGTAACTGACAGCCATGGGACAGCGACAACCAGCAGCCATGGGGCGGCGGTAACTGACAGCCATGGGACGGCGGTAACTGACAGCCATGGGACGGCGGTAACTGACAGCCATGGGACGGCGGTAACTGACAGCCATGGGGCGGCGGTAACTGACAGCCATGGGACGGCGGTAACTGACAGCCATGGGACGGCGGTAACTGACAGCCATGGGGCGGCGGTAACTGACAGCCATGGGACGGCGGTAACCAGCAGCCATGGGACGGTGGTAACTGACAGCCATGGGACGGCGGTAACTGACAGCCATGGGACGGCGGTAACTGACAGCCATGGGGCGGCGGTAACTGACAGCCATGGGACGGCGGTAACTGACAGCCATGGGACGGCGGTATTTGACAGCCATGGGACAGCGGTAACCAGCAGCCATGGGACGGTGGTAACTGACAGCCATGGGACGGCGGTAACTGACAGCCATGGGACAGCGACAACCAGCAGCCATGGGGCGGCGGTAACTGACAGCCATGGGACGGCGGTAACTGACAGCCATGGAACGGCGGTACCTAGCGGTAGCCATAAGGCGGCGGTAACTGACAGCTGCTGTAGCCGGCAGCGGACGGCAGTAACCAGCAGCCATGGGACGGCGGTAACTGACAGCCATGGGACAGCGATAACTGACAGCCATGGGACGGCGGTAACTGACAGCCATGGGACGGCGGTAACTGACAGCTGCTGTGGCCGGCAGCGGACAGCCGCAACCAGCAGCCATGGGACGGCGGTACCTGACAGCCATGGGACGGCGGTAACTGACAGCTGCTGTAGCCGGCAGCGGACAGCCGCAACCAGCAGCCATGGGACGGCGGTACCTGACAGCCATGGGACGGCGGTAACTGACAGCTGCTGTAGCCGGCAGCGGACAGCCGCAACCAGCAGCCATGGGACGGCGGTACCTGACAGCCATGGGACGGCGGTAACTGACAGCTGCTGTAGCCGGCAGCGGACAGCGGTGACCGAGTCGGGCGGGCAGCGGACGGTGGTCGACAGCCACCTTTATCCGGAGCCGGCCGGCCGGCGCAGCAGCCGAGGCAGCAAACCGTGGACACAGTGCACCTGGCTGGCCAGGTCTCCGGCGGAGCACGCTACATAGGTACTTATATTCCGCGGAGTCATCCACCGGGATCACCGGGCCGCAGTTGCCTGGGACTAACTGAGGGACCGTATGTCGCTGGTGCTCCAGTGTGGAGCGGGGGGGGGGGCAGTAGACGGAGCCCTGGGGTCCGGGTCGGGGGTCGGGACTGACCTCCCTTGGTGGGCACCCGGTGCTGAGAGTGCTGCGACCAGACAGGGTCGGGGGTCCGGCTCGGGGGTCGGGGTCGGACTCGGGACTGACCTCCCTTGGTGGGCACCCGGTGCTGCGAGTGCTGCGACCGAACAGGGTCGGGGGACCGGGGGTCGGACTCGGGACTGACCTCCCTTGGTGGGCATCCGGTGCTGCGAGTGCTGCGACCGGACAGGGTCGGGGGGTCGGGGGTCGGGACTGACCTCCCTTGGTGGGCACCCGGTGCTGCGAGTGCTGCGACCGGTAGCCGGTGATCATCTCGAAGCTGCCGTCGTCCTTTTTCAGCGGGAAGCAGATCTCGATGACGTGGTGGCAGGGCTCCATCATCTGCAGGATGCCGCGCACCTTCTTGGCCTTGTCGTCGCGCGGCGCCCGCGAGCGCATCGTGTCGACCAGGTGCGGCTCCACCAGCTGGCAGCCGCGGTGGAAAAAGTACTCCACCATCTCGAAAAACTCCGGGTCCGCCTGGTCGGGGATCGTCTGCGGGCGGCGGCGGGGGGGGGGGGGCGTCACAGGGGCCGCCGGGGTTCGCTCTCACTGCTCGCACCAGACCCATCAAAAACATCCGAACAGTAATGTCGAGCGCCCACCATCCAGCGGCACCTGCCGGGTGATGAGGACGGGAGGCACTCACAGCCAGCCGCTTCGGGAGGCACTCGCCGCCAGCTGCTCCGGGAGGCACTCGCCGCCAGCTGCTCCGGGAGGCACTCACCGCCAGCTGCTCCGGGAGCACTCACCGCCAGCCGCTCGGGGACTCGGGAGGCACTCACCGCCAGTCGCTCGGGGAGGCACTCACCGCCAGCCGCTCCGGGAGGCACTCACAGCCAGCGGCTCGGGGAGGCACTCACAGCCAGCGGCTCCGGGAGGCACTCACAGCCAGCGGCTCGGGGACTCGGGGAGGCACTCACCACCAGCCGCTCGGGGACTCGGGAGCACTCACCGCCAGCCACTCGGGGACTCGGGAGGCACTCACAGCCAGCGGCTCCGGGAGGCACTCACCGCCAGCCGCTCGGGGAGGCACTCACCGCCAGCCGCTCCGGGACTCGGGAGGCACTCACCGCCAGCGGCTCTGGGACTCGGGAGGCACTCACCGCCAGCCGCTCCGGGACTCGGGAGGCACTCACCGCCAGCCGCTCGGGGATCACGTAGGAGCCGATGGCGCGCGCCGTCTGTCCGGAGGCGGTGGCCTCGGCGGAGAGCAGCCGGCCGGCCGAGGCGCCCAGCAGACGCAGCATGGCTGCAACAGCGGCAACCACGTCACTCACGGACACTGCTCAGTGCTCACACTGACCAAACTCACTACACTGACCACCCAATGGCATCCTTTAGACCATGCATGGATCGCGAGAAAAGTGCACATACACAGGGTGTTTGGGATAAATTTGACAGTTCAACAACTCTGTTGGAAATGTTCAATATGCCAGGAAGTAGCTGATGGATTTCTAACATTTAAACTGTATATATGCAATATACCAATTCACATAGTTTTCAATGCATTAATAAGCTAGACCCATCACTCCCACAAAAGTTCCAGTGAGCTGCTGGAACTGCAGAAGATGGTCTTTCACAGCATTTGTAGAGAGACATGACAACACTATCTTCATGCTTGTGGTGAGTTTGACTTTGAAGTTACAACAGGCATCACTGGTGTTTTCCTCAGCTACACCACATAAGCAGTGGCTCATAAGATTGCAGTCTTTAGAGTTAGAGGGCTAAATGTTTGGCCTGGTGAGGTTGAAGAAGTTCTCCCAAACTGACTTCTCACTCTTCTCAGAGGGAAAGCCAGGTGGCAAGTTTTGTTGGCAGAGAGCAGGCAGCAAAGTTCCATATGGCGAACCTCTCCAACCAATGGCCTGATGGTCGTACTGAAAACTGAACAGCTTCACATAGCAACACCAAGGAAGTTGAAGGCCTCATTAAGAATGTGGTAGGTCATGATGTTAAGCTGTCACGGACACTCAGGGCAGACAATCCCTGCGCTGCCTCCTACAAGACAATATGTGTTATGTTATACTTACTCTGGTATTTGTTCAGAAAAAGGTCCGATCTACAACTGTGGCACCATTGATACGAACATGCAGCAGCAGAAATTGTATGTAGGTTGTAGGTTTTTAGGTTGTAGGTTGCGTTAGGTTGTAGGTTGCGTTAGGTTGTAGGTTTGTGGGTTTTAGGTTTTTGGGTTGTAGATTGTAGATTGTAGGCAAGTAGGTAAGGTCAGTTCAGGTTGGATTTTTTCTTCTCTTGCCTACCTATATAGGCATCATACTGATACTGACTGCAAGACAGTCTGTAAGAAAGCATATTATGAACATTGCATAATAACAACATCCTAACCGAAGGATATAATTCAAATTGCTGAGGATATGTAAGAGGATGAACAGTGTAACAAAAAAATCGGTCAATCAATGTAATTGATTCAATTAGATGTGTAGAATGATCGAAGGTCAATGTGGGAAAGGAGCTCCACTGGACAGAACCCTGAAACTAAAGCCCTCTCCTCTCTACCTCTACATTCCATACACTGAGATAAATCAGGGTAAAAATGCTCACCTTGACACAAAGTGCAAGATCCAGAATATACCAGACCACCCCCAGCGAGTCCTCCCCCTTCTGCACCAACGGAGCAAATCCTAGAGCATATAGGGCCTTGCCTAGAGCGAGAGCGAAGTAGGCGGCGGGCGGCGCGCATGTTTATTAATCCCACCCAGAAATGACAAACAAAGCCTCTGATTGGCCAGTTTTGGCTGACAGACGCAGAATATTTGTCAGCAATAGAATACTATGCTTTAGCACGTTTTCAATAATGACGCATCCGTTACATTTACAGGTTAGGGCAGCTAAAATATTGTAATTGATCTAACATGTTAAATATAACACTTTTGGAAGCCCGTAGAGATTGTTTCTAGTGAGTTAGGTGTTACAAAGTATTAAAAGAAATGATTGTTATCTGTTAAATAAAGAACAAAAGCTTTTAGCTACTAACATCCGCCTGACAGTCTCCAGAATCCTGCGTACGGGGACACCGCAGTCTCTGTTTCTTATGCTTTCGCAATGGGGAAAAATTGAAATTTTAAATGAGTCAGTATCGTGTTAAGAAGTACTGATGCTTTCAAAACTAAATGCTTTTCAATTCAAATTCCAGAATATCCTTTCGCGGAAATAGCCCTTCTCAGCCTGTCTCTAACGCTACAAGTCTGAACAGTGAGCGTCTCATGCGTTGCTCACGTATCGCGATAAAAAGGACGGTGTCATATGATCAAATGAACTTTTCTTATGCATAGAGCATTTGAAACCTCACACCAAACGCCTCCCTTCCTTGTTTTCCACTGCTGCCTTTCACATACCTTACCTAGTACCTACCCAATGACCGTTCCAGCTCGACATTCCTTATCGACTGCCTCACATTCAACGGCCATATCCCACCTACGCTGAAAACCAATCGGAGGCACTTTCAATCGTCCCTTGAATACAATTGCTACCTACACGCATTTAGAGGAGAACGAGGCCCAGAAAAGGCGTGCATAAAACGATCGGTTTCGGCCCCCATGGAATAAGCCAGGAGGTAAAATCATATTGATTGAAGAACATTTTCGAGGACATGATATCTATCAGATATTACTTTGCAAAGGTATTGTGAACATAACGTCCGCGTATCGCAGCTCTGAATCTGCTGGTGTCAGTCCCATGCAGCAGCCACCGGACCACTGCCCCGCCGCCTGCCGTTCGCTGATCATACAGGCCGGCTGTCCCAGTGTCTCATCAAACGATCACAGCTGACTCATTATTTATAAAATGCCAAACAAAAACAGACACCCAATATTATAGATCACGCCAGCTCTTTCAGTCATGCGCGTGGAGATATATCGGTAGTTTTCCTATCACAGATCACACTGAACAGAGGAAAAGCGTACACACGCAGCAATAAATAATGCATTATCAAGTACACCGATCGATGCATCGTGGAATACACCGAAAAAAATACATCACTGCTTTAACGTTCCCCAGGTGGGTGGGCCGTCGGGGCGTTTTTGGCCACACCTGACAATTTTGTGCTTGCATAGATAAAACGACACGAAACTTAGTATAGCTTATGTATAATGCATCGATTCGCATCAATTGTGAAAAAAAGTAACCCCATGTCACCTAAGGTCAGGTCAGGTCACCATGAAGTAGAAGTTTGAAACTCGAGCTATTGCATGAGAGAATCAGTACCAACATCTTGAATATCTTTAATTTTGATATCGGTGGTGACCTAGGGTCAGGTCAACTTTGCGACGTCTCCAGTTTCAGTCAGTATGAGGAACTCGAAATCGAAATGTTCTGCTTTTGAAACAAAAGCACTCAAACATCGGGATCTATCGTATGCTCCTGAGGTCATCTCAGGTCATGTAACGCCTCCCAACAGTTTATTTTTGTACATCGATTTTAGATGGAATGTGGCCAGAGCGCTAAAAGCATCATAATCATAGGCGGCGGAACAGGCCGAGGGCACCGAGGCACCGTGCCCCCTTTGATTTTGGCATTTTAACATTAGCCCTATGGCCGTTGCATGGAAAGAATGAGACCAAAAGTCGGCAATGCCCCCTTAATTGAAGGTGTTCCGCCGCTACTGATGTTAATCTCAATTTCAATGTAACGAATCATCAATGACATGCAAAATGGCATTTTCTGCGACATTGACCTGAGGTCAAATTTATTAAGCTGACCTTGTTAGGCCAAGAAGACGAGAGAAACGCAGTGCCGGTAAAATCAACGTAATAAAAGGTTGGTATCAGTTTAAAAAAATTTAAAGAAAAGACGACTTCCGAAGCAAGCCGATTGTTCAGTTTTTGCCCTTTGGAGGCTTAACCCTAGTTGACCTTAGCTCAAATCTGAGAACCTGAAAGATTTTCGAAAGAGCTATCGAATTCGCTTTTCCGCGGCGCTGTAGCTTCTTTGGTTCTCGAATTATGAACCAATTTGTGAAGTTGTCAAAATCGGGGGCCAAAATTCGTCATCATTTTACTTTTGGTGACCTCCAGTGACCTCAGCGATGACCTGATCAAAAATGACCTGTATGATTCTGAAGAAAAATAGCGGTCTATAGATTGATTTTACTGCGTCTTTCCAGCTTTGCTACATTCCAAGATAACCTGGTGTGGCCGAATACACCTCCCCCCCCCCCCCCAAGTTGGCTGAGGGCCACCCGGGCGCGGGTTAATAACATGGCGCAACAGGTTTTGTTATCAACTTGTCCTTTTCACACATAGGCGACACTAGATATCACAGCCAACGCCTATAACCAAACTGGTGGTGGGCTTTGGCCAGCGATCGCCGATCGGGGCCAACACGGGCTCTTACTCGTCCACAATCAGCAAGAATGATGAACTACAGCTGCTCCAGACCGGCCACTTCAATCCAGCGTGTAATCTTCAGTCCACATCAGAACCACTAGTGAAACTCTACTGAGTGGGCCAACTGCACTGCATCTTTGACCTCCTTTGCAGCTCTGGCTTTTCAGAATTTGAACAGCCTTGAGCCTTCTCTTTCCCACCCTTCTGTGCTGATGAATGATGATCCTTTGGAAACCTGGAAAAAGACAGTACAGACTCAGGGAGATGAAACTGTTTTGCTATGGGTCTGTTCCAGTCGCACTTCCTAACACATCTAAACTCCTCAAAGAGCAAGATAGAGGAGGTTGGAGCAGGGCCCTTCTTGGCTTTGTAGGGGTGAAAGCTGCCACTGGAACAGGGAAGCAATCTTGGAGGAGTTAAGAGGTGTTAGGAAGTGCGACTGGAACAGACCCTATGACAATGTCTGTGCATAGAGCAAGCAGATGGTAGAAGTGGTCAATTGGTGAGTGGAACAAATGCAAATGTCAGGAAAGCAGTCATATTTTGTGATAGACATGGTGCAGATGTTGGCCAAGCTGACAAGGCAGATATAATTACCAGCTTGTTATACTAGTCTATAACTCATCATATTTTCATGTTTAACCCTATTCCTGGCGGGCTCCGCCGGGACAAGAAACTGGCGGGGGGGGGGGCGATTTGGCCCCCCCCCCCTGAGATCTCGAGAACGAAGCAAGATAGCGACAAGCGGTAAACGGCATCGGATACGCACGGCCAAGATCTACAATTTTTACTAAGGTCATTTTCAGGTCAGGTCAAAGATGACGTCACAGGGGTCGAAAAAGTCAAAATGGCGGCACTAGATATGGAGAGAGTTTTTCTCGAATAACTTTCGAATTAGTCAAGATAGGAACAAACTAAGGGCATCATCGTGATCCTCTCGTCAATCCGCATCGAATGATATATATGTTGACCTCGAAAGGTCAAGGTCAAAGGTTGACCTCAAGTCACGTGACCTCGAGGTCATCATGTATATCATTCGATGCGTCTTGACGAGCTGAACACAATGAGACCATCCACGCGTCTGTATCTTGTTCCTGTACGGAGTTATTGGCCAAAAACCTTTGGTGACCTTTGATGACGTCACATGACCTCACAGCTGCCCAACAGCAAAACAGACCTCAAGGTAGTGAAGGTTGATCGTATATGAAGTCATGTATGGTATATGGGGCCATTCCGACCCGTTTTAGTGGTAAAAACAGGGAGTTGATTTTTCCCCCATTGACTTATAATGGGGAGGTCGCGAAATTGACCTGACCTTAGGTCACCGATATCAAAATTCCGAGATATACAAATTGCACATACTGGTACCCTAACTAAACCCTGAAGAGAAGAAATTGATCGGTCAAAAACTCTAGCTCTGGCGTGATTGCAAACTTTTCTGAGGTAGGGTCACCAAACCGCCTCTGGTGACCTGACCTGAGGTCAGATCAACTCAAAATTTTCAGACATGTTGCGTAGAAGCCTTTTAGGAAAAGTCAGAAAATTTGAGCTTCCTAGCTCAACGCGTTTGAGAGAAATAACCAAAAAACCTCAGGGGGGGCTCCTGAGGCCCCCCCCCCCCCCGCCAGGAATAGGGTTAACAGAGGGAATAGGGGAGAGTGGGGTAAGATGCCCAGGGTGGGAAAGACGCCCCACCCCCTCTAGCGGCGAAACAAAGAATCGAACCTGAAAATTAATGTTCTTAGCGTAAAGCGGAAGCCTGCCTTGTTAACTGCACACAAATTTGTGAAGCTCAGTTGGGCAACGGCTGGCTGGTGATTGCATGTTTTTTATTTGCTGCTTTCAAAAAATATTTTGGTGTCAAAACATTGTCAATATCAAAGAAAGTAGATAATTTTTGCGTCCCTTGCTATAGTCGTCATACATTAACATGCGTGTACTGTGTCTCAAACAGTTTGTTTCAGGGTGTAGTTTTATGGCTAACAAATTGTACTGATTTAATGTTGCTTCGGCAGGGGCGGCGCTGAGCTATTGAAAGTAGGTAGGCACTTGGTAGGTAAGGCAGAAAAGCTCAATACGGAATAGGTAAAAGGAGGAGGGGGAGACAGCCTTATCGCTTAGTCTGGATGCGTCAAGCAGCGACAGCAGCGTCATCTACAAAAACCATCAACTTAACTAGAGCTTACACGTCTGCCGCCAGAGGCAAACGAGTCTCTCAGTAGGAGTCTAGTTCGTTCAATATAATTTAGAACAATAGAATAGAATAACAATAGGTACAATAGAATAACACAACAAGCATAACAACGCTACGTACGCTGAACTTATGATAAAAATTGATAAAGTAAAAAGTGCTTTATTTTAC